CGCCCGTCCCCACGCTCCGCGTGCCTCTCCCTGACTGCTGGCCAGGGGGCCGCGCGTCTCTGGGTTTCTGGCCGTGAACTTCAGGCTGCGGAGGCAGCGGGGCCCCCTCTGCTCTGCTTGGTGTTGACTGGGGACCTGGCGCCATGCTCCGACCCGAGTGCCACTTCTCCTCGGCTCCACCCGTGGGTTTGTGAGGGTCAGGGGGCACTTAGGGGCGTGTCCCACCCATGGTGAAGTGGTACCCGGCGAGCGGTACCTCCTGTGGGCAGTTTCCCAGGTACTACTTCTGTCGGGGTCCCGAGTCCCTCAAGGGAAGGGGCGTTTATTGTCCACTCAGGAGCCATGTCACGTGTCTGCCCAAGACACATGCTCCTTAGTGGCCATGGGGCACCAAAGGGAGCGTGGATCTGTGTGGCAAGACCGACCTGCTCTGCACAGACATGGGTGGCGAGACCGCTTGTTCCATTGGACTGTCGGGCCCTCGGGGTTCAGTCCGCCCCGCCCCCGCCCCCGCCCATGGGCCTCAGTGGGTCCTCGCATCGACCAGACCTTGGCATTCAGATTTCTGCACGTGTGCGCTTTTCAGAGGGAGACGGGCTGGCTGTGAGCGATGGCTACTCTTTTCTGAGGACTCTGGTCCCAGCGGGGAGAGCAGGGCCCTGGGCTGAGCATCGTAAACAAAGGTGCCTTTGGAAAAATCGCTAGGAGGAGCCGCCTGTCACTGGCCAGTGGGTGTCACGTGGCAAGGGCCTGCTCCAGGGCCAGTGTGAGGGGTGTGGCTGTCCCAGCAGCTCTCTCTGCCACCCTCTTTATTTAAAAAAATGTTTTTATTGATTTTTTAGAGAGAGAGGAAGGGAGAGGGATAGAGAGATAGAAACATTGATGAGAGAGAAACATCATCAATTGGCTGCCTCCTGCACACCCCACAGGGGATGGAGCCCGCAACCCGGCACGTGGCCCGATCGGAACCGAACCAATGGCCTCTTGGTTCCTGGGTAGATGCTCAACTGCTGAGCTACACCGGCCGGGCTTGGCCACCCTCTGTGCTCTCCAGTTGGCCAGGACCCCTTCCTTGGCCAGCCACCTCCTCGGGGAGTTCTGGGATGTTCTACGCCTCCCTCCCCCCGCCCCATGGGAAGGGGTTTAACCCTGAGTCAGGTCCATCAGCCACCCAGTGGCCCGTCTTCCACTCCCCAGTGGACATGGTGTCCACTTCAAGTGGACTGGGCTTGTTGGGCCCGACATGCAGGGGCCCGGCTGCCCAAGGCTGCGGGATTTTCTCCACCGAGCGTTCTCCCACGGATGGGCCTTCAATGGAGCCATTCAGCGAGCGGCCTTCGCTAGCAGAAGGCTAATTTACGGCCTCCCCCACCCCAATCACTAACGGGAATATGCATTTCAAACGCCGTGTAAGGGATACGGGCCTACACGCCCAGGGAGCGGAGGTGAGCGGGGGTCGTAGCCTGTCTGACCTGGAAGCTGCTGTCTGACTTGCTTGCCCTGAAATTGATGGGGACAAAGAATAATCGCTGGGAACTGCGCCCCTGAAAGCCGAGCCCGCCTTCTGCACCGGGCTCAGGGCAGCCCCTGCAGGGAGGGCACCGTCCCCTGGGCATCTGGCTCCCATCAGCGCCCCCGCCCAGAGGCTGCCGGGACACCCTTGCACTGAGCCTTCCCGCCAGCAGCCGGCCTCGGATAAGGAACCTGAGCCCAGGAGCCCCGCGGGGGCCTAAGTGATCTGTTTATGGGGATCTGAGAAACACCAGGTTCCTCAGGCCCAGGCCCTGGTCAGTCAGCCCCCAGTGGGCGTGGCGCTCCCCGCGGGCCCCGCCCAGGGAAGGGGAGGCGGCCAGGCCCATCCACCAGGCCCCTTCGCCTGCTGCCTACACTAAAGACACAGTTACCTGGGGAGGCAGTGGCCGTTCGGTTGATTAGCCGGTGAATTAAAAGAACGAGTCGCAAGTGACATGTCCGGCTCCTCCAGCCCAGGCCCCCTATTCCCAGCGAGCCTCACCCCTGTTGTGAGAAGGTCAGAAATGAGAGAGCGGGAGCCATTTCCAAGCAGCTAGCACTTAGGCGCAGAATTAACAGTCACTCTGTATGTAATTGCCAGTTAATAGTAAATTGCCTTCTAGACTGTAAAATGCAGTATAAACGCCGGGCACCTAAAATTAAATTAATGAGATATTCGCTGCATTTAAAAGTGAAGAGTGCAAATTGATACCTGAGTGCCACGCTTGTTTTAATATTTGTCTAATCGCGTCTCGTCTGCTTGTTTAATAATAATTACCGAGGTCCCGAAACAGCCTACCTGAGACGCTCACGCATGCTAGCCGGGCAGACTGACCCGTCTCCTGCCCCTCGCGTCCCCAGGAGAAACCCATCCGGTGGGCAGGGCCCACAGAATGCTTCTTTAAGTAGAAGAGAAGCGTTGCGGTGTTATTTGGTGAAGACACATTGGAATTTGTCTGCTTCGAACTGAAGCTATGTGAGGGTGGACGCTACCTTTGCAGACACGTGTCCAGGGGTGGGTGTCCGTGCACGGGTGTGCGTGTGACGTGAGGTGTCCGTTTGGTGCGACGGGTTCCCGTCACACAGAAGCAGTGAAGCTCATGGGTGGTGGCGTCCCTTCCAGGGGGTCCCCCAGGACGCCAGGGCCACTCCTGGGGGCTCCTGCTCTTGAACTCTTGGACCCAATGTTTGGAGGACCCACTCTCATTTTAGCGATTTCTTTTGCTCAATTAAAGAAATTATCACAAATTACCGGGAGTCAACAGGTCGTCTGCCGCGGGCCAAGCCCAGTCGCGAAGGGAGACGTTGGCGGCTGCTGGTAAACGTGTCCAGGGCGGACACAGACGGAGCTTGTCTGCAGTTTATTTCCTGGACGGGGACATACACATGATTCTTTTACGCACCAAGACATGCATTCGATTACAAGTGTATGAAATCGTTACTCAGCCAGTAATTGCTGACCGTTTGTGTGCTCTCTGATACAGTATTTACGTTTCCTGCTTTTTTGATTTAAAAGAGTCAGATTGTGCCTTAAATGGGCGACACGTCAGGCCCCCGGGTGCTGTCCCGGCAGCGCGGGTGGCAGTTTCCTTTCCGTGCCCGCGCCGCGGCCTCCGGCGGACTCCACCGTTTAACCCCCACTCCACTCGCCCCTTGAAGGGTGCTCGTAATCTGAAGTGCCTTGAAGATCTTTGTGCGCATTGAGATGGGATTCTGTCAACAGCGGGGGACGCACTGCAGTCAATAGCGCCCGCGACCAGGGCCAGCCAGGAGCTGTCGCCCGGCCAGCGCCCTGCAAACAAGTGGCTGTCTCCCCACAGCAGCCGGCAACTGCCCCCCGAGACCAGATACTCTGACTGTGCCCCACCCGGGCTAAGCCCTCCCTTCAGTGAAACCCGGGGTCCGTCCACATTCCCGGCCCCCTCTGGGGACACGGTGGGGAAACAGGTATTTTCATCATGGGTCCTGGAGCTGGGGACACTTCTAGCCAATTCAGTCGGTTACTCCTGGGCACCCCCATCTGTCCTGGCCCACGAGGCCTAGTGGTGCCGGCGGGCCCCTGCCCAGCCCTCTCCGCAGTCTCAC